GTGTATAAGAGACAGCCCGTGGGCAGCAGAGCCCCCCTCTGCACCACAAAAAGTCCGGCTTGGTGGGGGGGTGACACGCAGCCAGGACTTCCCGTGGGGTTTTCTGCCAGGACCCACAGCAGTTCCCCGTAATCTCCCACGCGGAATGGGCAGATGCCGCCAGCAAATTTATTGCCCGACACTGAGCCTGTCTTCTCTCTGGGAGGTGGGAAACAGCCCTTGATTGAAGGCCAGAGCAATTTTCCTCTAACACTCTCCTTCAGGCACTTTTAGGAGGACAAATCCATCCCTTGTTGGTCAGTGACCTCCCGAAGTGACGTCTGCATCCCAGCGGGATGGATTTGGACACCCAAGTGATAAAAGCAGCGCCCCAGCCAATCTTTACATCGGCCACGTTTCCTTTCAACGAGCACCAAAGCTATTTTCCATCACGTCATGGAAGCAGAGGAGCATCTTTAGCCGTGACACGAAGGAAGAAGGTGCTGTGCTCAGTCAGAAGGTGCAAGATTTCCCCCCCCCCCCTTCCCACCAGCCTCCAGCCATTAACCCCGCGTCAGCCACCAGTTCACAGTGAGTGGGTGAAACGCTTGTGACAGGCTGGTGTCCGCTAAATGCCACCAAGACAGGCCCATTTGTGGAGCATTAGTTCGCCCAGACAGGAGGAGGGAGCATTCCTTGGCCAGCCTGACCTGCTTTCTATCCCCAGTACGTGAGCAATGTGTTTAAGAAGTTTCTCCTTCACTGCTGCATCCCCCTCCAGCCACGGCAAAGGCAGAAAACCACACAAATCGGTGAAAAAAACCTTCCAGTACACAACGGCCTCTAATTTTTTTCAGATTAAAATTTGTCACTCTGTGGGCAGCAGTGGAGCTCCATGACCTCCATCCTTTCTCCTGCCTCTGCGGGGGCTCCAAAACCTCAGTGGAGGCTTCAAACTTAACGAAGCTCCTGCTGTTAATGAAGCATGGCAGGGGGACACGATATACTTCTGGTTTGCCCTGATGGTGTGCGAGGGTGTGATCACTCGAGGATTGGGAAAATCATCTTCAGGTCTACACAGCAAAGATGCTTTAAAGCTGCGTGTGTGGCCGGAGGGTGTTTTAGGTGTGAAACAGCCCAGAAGCGCTGCAGGTCGCTGCCGGACACCCCCTTTTCCCATCACCCAGGTTATTCCCCAATGTGAGAAGTGATTGGGAAGGGCACGAGTGGCCAAGTTCTGCAGTTGAGCCTCTCTGGCAGCCCCCAGCCCCTTTGGTGATGTCTAGGAAGAGCTGGGACTGTGTTTCAGCTGCGCGGGAGGGCTGGATATGAGGCTGCTGCCCACTCCCCACCCCGTGGCAGGCCTTTGGGGCTTTCCTCCGCGAGCCGAGGCGAGCTGGGTTATAGATAGCAGGCAACTAACGCCGCCGATTAATGCCGCGGCGGCTTCATCGCCCGCCTCGCATGTCGTTAGGAGATCAGAGCTAACGAAGGGGGCTCCTCTGGGGCCCCAGGAGGAGCCTGGGGAAGAGCAGGGACGTGGCACAGCAAATCCGGTGCTGGGGACGCAGCGAAGGGACCTTCCCCGCCCTCCACGGCTGATGTTGGGGGATTTGGAGCAGGGATTCGAGTAGCCCCAAAGCATCGAGCGGGGTGTGGGTTGGGGGGATCCAGCATCACCCCAGGTCTGTGGCTGGGTACCAGTTTGCCCCAGCTGGATCTGCCCGGCCCCATCATTCTGAGGTCACTCTGCCGTGACTCACCCCAGGTGACCCAAATGCTTTCACCCCTCCCCAAAACACCCTTTTTTATGGTTTACTTTTTTTTTTTTTTAACACAGTTTTTGCCTCCCCCTGCCTCCCCCTTCCCACCTCATCCTCCCCTTGATTCCCATAAGTGATTCTGCCTTGTGGCTGCGGAGCCTCTGCAACTTAGAAAAAAACATTTTATTAACCTTCCTTGACTTTAAAGAGCATAATTACATTTTAATCTCATATTCCCGCGTTATCATTCCAGACACAGAGTCATTTGAATGCAGATCGTTCCCGGCTAATGTAATTTTACGATACAGTAATGAAGAGACAGAGCATGAGCGTGTAACACCCAATTTAGAGCTGACATTTGGGTTTCTTTTAAAAAGTTTTCCCAGCCGAGGGTTTTTGCGTCCTCCTCGGTCCTGCAACGCAAGTGGGTTTCGGCTCCTGCTGTGAAGGGATGGCTTTGGATGGGGAAACGTGGCCGGTGCTCATAATATTGGTCATTAAAGCTGCCCACGGCTGCCCCACGTGGGTGATTCAGCCTCTCTGGTGGTGGGCACGGCGTGAATTCAGCAACTTGCTGCTCCCCTGGTGCCAGAGAGACCTGAGCCAGGGGCTGCGGTTACCTTCACCCCTTTTGAGGTGGGGAGAATCGCCTTCATTTTACTTGTCAAAAAGCCCAGGAGCCCCCTAAAAAACAGGACCATCACCCCTCCAGGTTGATGCATTCCCTCCAAAATCACAGGGCAAGAGATGGGAGGTGGCTGGGACCCCCAGTGCCCCAAAATAAATACTTGCCCTTACCCCTGCATGCCTCAGTTTCCCTTGGGCAGCGAGGTGATGCTCTGGGGTTCACCCCCCCCCGTCCCCAACATCCCTCGCTGATGCCTACGAAGCCCATCATGGAGCTCGCTTTGCTTTTTCAGAGCATTTTGATTTTGCCAGGGTGGAGTGCAGCGGGCCCACAGCTTCCTTTGGGGTGTGTGACCAGAGCAGCAGCCCCCACCCCGGGTACCCCGTCCTCCTTGCTCCAGCCAGGGCTGGGCCAGTGCAGGTCCCTGATCCATCACCAAAGGGATGCTAACGAGGGTGAGAGAGCGAGGGGTGCTAACTAGGGTGGAAAAAAAAACACCCTCCAGCCACCCAGAGTGATCCCCAAGCTGATTTTTATGGTTCTCTGCCTCAATTCGCCATCTTCAATGAAGAGGAGTTCAGGGGAGGCTGAACGGTAGAAAACCACCCCAGAGACAGCACCACTGCCCACCCTCATCCCTCCCAGCACCCCAAAACAAGCCCCTCCTAACCACTGTGAGCCATCCCCAATGCTCGGGGGGGGCAGGGGGTGCTTGTTAGGTGCCTGATTCCCCTTTTCCATATTAATTTCACATTGCCGAGGTCACCCTGCTGAAAAGGGGATCTGGGACCAGCAGGAATATTTGTGGCTGGATGGTGCAGGGAGGGATTTTACACTTGGGGGGCTG